AAGCAACAATGTGTTGATGTCTGGACCTGTTCGACTGTCCAGTGGTTAGGTTATGGTAACCGTACGTGTTTTGAAGCGCTTCGTGATTTATTTATGTGAGCAAATTCATCTAGAATAGTGCTAGAATAAAAAGGGATGAAACTAACACCCAGAAACCGGTGACTATGAAGAAACTGCATTTGACTGTTCTGCAGACCGCCCAACTTCATCAGCAAGGAGAAACGTGAACGTAAGAAGAAGGAAAAGAAGACGCTCAAGGCGATCGACGAGTTTATCAAGCACAGCGCCGCCCAGCGGCAGACGCTGGCGGAGACAAGCGATTGGCTGAACGCGTCGGAGGGACTATTAGATGAATTCAACGATGAGGTGAAAATGCAGTCTTTGCATCGTTCTGCTGTGTGTCTAGTCACATAGGTTGTATGATAGTCTTGCACTTGTGTCCAACAAAATTCAGCTGTTTTCTTACCAAAAAGGCAGTCATAGATTTCTGTCTGTGGTAGGTTTTGTCACAGCTTTCTCGAAAACCCTACATCAATATATCGCACACCGTCCTGCCGGGTGAGGAATAAGACCACGCCGTAGTGGCATGCACACCATCGCACGGCGTGTTTATGATAACAATACTTGGAACTCCCAAGTATATATTGTTGTAATAACCATGCCGTGTTACGTTGTTGAAATAATGCATGTAACGTTAAACTTCGATGGGTTTCACATTTTGAGTAGGAAAGTCCTGGCAGAAATATTATCGGGCATTCATCAAAGCCAAGTAGAGTGTTTTATATATCATTTTTTCGTTACGGGTGAACTACGTATGTTCTTTACAACTTTTGTTTGGTTGCCCTTCCACCCAAAAAAGGAAAGTCCTGAGCAGAAGGAGCGAATGATGAACCAAGTGCACCGGCGTATCGTCATGGCCGTCCTGACGGCACAGAATTGCGCACAGAAACTCCAGCGTCTCGGCGAGAGCATCTTCTCTGACACCGGGATGCCCGCGGGAGACGCACGCCAGTCGCCAGGTAGGTAGATAGATGTGATGTTGCTCTTCTTCATTGTTATCCAAAATCCGTGCTCATCTCGGCTCACTGTGGCAAAACTTCTGTACAGCTCCAGGCGCGAGGCGCCCCCCACCGGGCCAGCCGCGGGTACTGCAGGAGGGGGAAGTTCTGGACGAGGAAACGATCTTGGCAGACCCGGAGAACTGGAGGGCAGCGGCCAACCAGGTGACGTCTTTTTCACCCCCCAAAAAATACGCGAACTAGGTACGCAGAAAATCTGAACTCTGTATCTTGCAGTTGTTCTGTATCTTGCCCTTTGAAAGTAAACATTCTCTGTCTTAACTTCTGAATAGGTGCGGAAAATACTCCAAGACGCCACCAAAATGGCGAGGACCAACAAGGCGCGGAACGAAGTGCGGGATGCCATCAAGCAGTTTGACTTCATCTCTGCAGCAGGTAACGCCAAAGATAGACGGGAAAACATGGGGACCAGTAGACAGCCCCTTAACCTTAACCTTTGATCAACTATGAAAGGAAATTGCCTGCCGACCTTTTAGTACTGTAGTTCTTCTGCTGCCTACCTACGGCAGTAATGGCTGGATCTAACATTTTTTTTTTATCATTATTATTATTTCCAACATGTAATCACAAGACGTGGTGACGGCACACTCAAGTTTTTTAAACTTATATAATGCCACCACCAACACAGGGGACAATACAGGGGATCTAACGTTGCTTCTCTGAAACACCACTACAAAAGGAAATTGTCATTTCGTTTGGCCATGGTGGTGGGAATACATTGATTTGCCAACGTGACAAATGATCCGGCGTAAGTGGTTCAAACAAGTAATACAAAAATAAGAACACGCCTATGACTGTACTTCCTCCAGTTGAACGCAGGGCGGATGAGCTGAGGGACAGAGACTCTCAGATTATCGACCTGAAGGCAGACATCGACAGGCTGAGCAACACCAAGGACCCGCATGACGGAGGACTACAGCAGT